AAATAAATGCGTTTGAATCCTTAAATTTCAGCAAATATCTTTCTCTTCAATGAAAAATTCAAAGAACTATGAAACAGTCAAGAGTCGACTGACTCAAAATACATCAAACATATAACTGTATCTAACTTGGAGCAGAGTCGTTTTTTCTATTTCTGCCTAAAGGCCTTCAAAGTTATATTAACTTAAGAAAATTACCAAATATATTACACTTTCCGAAAACTAGCATCCAATAGATTTATTATAATGTGTTTAGGAAACAGTTTCTAGAATACAGGTTACCTATATACTTAAATCAATGTAAAATTGATTTTGTTTGATATCTAGAGTTAACCGAAAACTTAAAAAACCTTGCATCTCGTTCCAAATTGATTATGATTATGAGCAATAATTTATGCTCGAAATGTCATCCAGTTAATGATACTGTATGATATTTAAAACAAACTTATCTAAAATGGAATCTCCTTCCAAAGTCATAATACATTTCCCAACCTTTCATCGAAATAATCTTCAGTTAACATTTTGCTTATGTAACGACGCACTCTTAAACCTTACTAAGCCAGTGGTAAGATCGGTGAAGAGGCAAGGTTGGGAATGAGGCTAGTAGCCCCATCCCGTAAAAATAAACACGAATGCTAATGAAACTTTGAGGCTCTAGCTTGAATCCCTATGATCTATTAGGAACAAAAGAAATAAAAAGAAGCTTCTTGGATTGAGTCAACCTAGGGAGATAACTTAAGGGGCAGGTGATTAAGAAGAAATACGACCAACAAGTGACAATATCTCTTCATTATGGTTGAAGATTATTATTATTTGTTAGTGTGAAGAGATTTTCGTCTACTCGTATTCATCAGTAATGAATATCATTCCGCTACGTACCAGGAGATTTTTCAATAACAGCCTTCTTTCACTCATTATAAAAAATTGTTAAACAGGAAAATAATCTCTTTTCACCTTCAAAAGGATTATTTTTCATTTATCTTCCCAGTGGAACATTGGGCTTCAAGCTAGGGACTTGAAGTTTCGGTAGCAGTGGTATCTATTTTTAAGGGATGGGGTTGCTAGCCTCATGCCCAACCTTCCCTCTTTACCGGTCTTATTACTGGCTTAGCGAGGTAAAGGAGTGGGTCGGCCGGGGATCGATCCCTGGACCAAATGCGTGGTTGGCAAGCATTCTACTCCAGTGCTACCAAAGCACAAAAGGATATTGTTTCATTAATGGATAAGTACAGCTGAAAAATGTCTACTTGGAAAAGTAGGTATAAACATGATATTTTTTCAACTATGGTATAAGAAGAAGACATTATTTACTTTTTGACAAGTTAACAGGATAACGCTCACACGCACAAGTATAGGTGGAAATATCATCCAACTGCATGGACATTATATTTATATTCAAGCTAAATTTTGAATCATCCTCATTTACATTTTTAAGAAACTCGAAAATGTTGCAGAAATAATAGTAATCATAGTAGATATAATGTCATTTTGTCATATTTCACGCATAACCAAAAAAAAGAATAAATTGTATCTAAAGCATACTTGACAATTTTTTTAATAAAATATTTTGATGACACACAACACACGAAATAATCCACTTTCCATAGACATATTCAAAATATACATATATTTCATACATTTATTACCCTTGGTGAATTCGAATAAAGCAATAACTACAGCGGTTTATGCTGCTGCTGCTGGATTCAACATAGAACTTGGCACCGAAGTGCAACAGTTCTAGTTGCCACGTTCCAAATAGCACACAAAGGTAGACAAGAAAATGAGTGAAGAGAATCAATAGAATTTAGACAAGTATAAGAGTGAAACAGAATGAGTAATGGTAGAAAGGAATATGAAGGTTAAAGAGACTGAATACATCTGCGCCATTGACAACGATTTTGAGCCATGTCACCTAGTGTCTTCAACCATTGATTCTTAGAGTCCCGAGGGCCCCAACCCGGAAGTCTGCATCTCCCTACCTGACTCAGTTTAACTGTCAGAGATTTTATGGATTGATGCCATGTTTTTGTTTGGCCACCACTTACTCTTTTCAAACCTGCACCTATATCAGCTAGTAATGCCCGTCGAGGTGGGGAGGGGCAATGGTTAGGCATGCGCAACACGTGACCTAGCCATCTCAATCTATGTAACTTCATAGCCTCTTCGATTGATTTTCCCTCTTTGCCCAACACTCTACGCCTAACGTCAACATTACTCACCTTATTATACCACCTAACGTGAGAAAGAGATCGTAAAAATCTGTGGTTAAAAACAGACAATCTCTTCATGTCTTCCGCTCTCAATGGCCATGTCTCACCGCCATAGAGAAGGACGGAGCGGACTGCTGAGCAGTATACACGTCCCTTGGTTGATAGGCGGATGTCACGCCTACGCCAGAGACGGTGTAAGTTAGCGAAAGCAGCTCGAGCTTTTTGGATCCGTGCTGAGATTTCGTCACCAATCAATCCGTTGGTGCTGATACAACTTCCCAAATAGGTGAAGTGGTCAACATGTCCTATCACTTCACTTACTATCACCAAGCTGGGGGTAGACGTAGTCCAGCCCTGTAGCAGCATCTTACATTTGACAGGGGCGAATCGCAAAATAACATGGTACCATCATTTATCTCATTGGCTTCTCATCAGCTGCTCAAAGCCTAAATGAATTATTAATGTGCATCTGTAATCATCAATTTGCTCATTCGTCTTCCACATTGTTCAGCTGCTTTCCAACCCATTTGGCAGTTTCCCGGTGGTTGGTATCTGACACTGGTTGGTCGGATTTGATGACGGAGGCACTCTGGTGGATCCATGACTTCTGGCAAAGTCTTCCCACTTTCGAACAGAAAGAAGCGTGTTCCACTCGTAAAATTTGGATATGATGGAGAAGATTTGTAGCTCAGGTGGATGGTTTTGATGTAGTTGTGTTCTCTGAGCTGGATGGTTGCCTAGTAGGGCAATCAAAGCTTCACAAATAAACCATCCAGCTCAAAAAGAGAATACAACCACATCGAAATCATCCACCTGAGCTACAAATCTTCTCCATCACATATATATATGTTTACTCATTTATTTTTGCATACTATAATTTACCACTTATTAATTTAGTTAGTCGATTTTGAACCTTTGAAATATGGGTGTGAATCTGTCCACTTTGAACGACATCTTATTTTTAGCTGTGTATTATGAATAAATACTCCTCCTCTTCGTTATAGTAAAAGGGTGTGTCAGCATATAACCAATTATATATGCTCAAAGACGCTGATTTACAGTTATTTAAAGTGAATAAACTGTTGCGTAAATTTAATTATAAACAAAATAAGCTTTACATAGGATTGGAATAAAAATTTTTAAAATCTTGATAATACCTACAAAGGAACCCTTCAGTGATGTACATTTATGAATAGGAATAGTAACTAACTGACTATCAACCCTTAATAATATAAGAATAGAACTTGTGGATAAAATTTTATTTTGATAAAGTCCCAAAGTTTTATACAGTAGTATATATACTGATGACCATGTTTCGAGCACAATTCATTGCCCGTAACCATATCAGGATACTCACACAACTTTCAGAAAGTTGTCGTCATCAGTAAATATGGCTGTATAACACTATGAGGCCTTACGAAAATGAATTTTATCGATAATGGATTAATACTCTACCAAAGTGACCAGGTTCTATCCTTATATCAATAATGCAGTAATCTGTTTGTTAGTGGCTGATTCTTCTGAGTACGAGGCTGAAACTGATGGAAGAGAAATACCTACTAACTATCTTCAAAAAGAATGAATACTCACACAGTTATATCAAAAAGTGTTGAAACTCAAGTCGTGATATCGACAAGAAACCATCATTAAAGATCACAAGAAATTTCACCCTGCCGTATATTAGGAATATCTCTGTAATAACAGCTAGAATACTTTCTTGTTTATAGCTTGATTCCACACAGTATTTTTGGTACAACTATGGAATTTTAAGCATAAGGTATCGTTAGTCCAAATTTTGCAGGCCAACCATTGATACCAGGTGTCCGTCTGCAGGGAATCGAACCCCGGACCATGTGCGTGGTTGGCGAGAGTCCTAACTGCTGTGCCATAGACCGTTTTAAATACATATAACACACAGCCAGCCCAATCACTTCATTCGATATTGTGCAAACCAAAAGATCCAATAGAAAAAGAGGAGATGATCAGCACAATTTACAAAATAAATTGTAACAAACATTACATCTGTGAAAGTGGGCGTCCCCTTTGTGTCCGAATTCAAGAACATAAATCAGCTGTGACAAGGAGCGATATGTATTCTTTCATATCAAAGCATGAAGGTAATTATAGACAAGATTTTGATCCGGATAATGTAGAAATACCAGATAGGAGAAACCTAAAAAATGACAGGGGATTTCTAGAAGCCTGGTACTCAAATGAATCAGCGATTAGCAAACATATTACTATATTGCTATAGACTACATCTACAAACTAATAAAAAATAAATCCCATGATGACAAAGCTCAAATTCCGAGACAACAGAAATGATCAATAGAGATATAAATTGATAACCATGGTTGTTAGGCGATTCAATTATATCACTTATGGAGAATTCAAAGAAGTTCATTTCATACTAAAACCTGCACTGAGGATGTTGTCTAGAAGGACAACGAAAGCTTCGCAATTGAATCGACCAGATCAGAGAACACAACTAAATCAAAATCATCCACCTGAGCTGCAAATCTTCTCCATTATGTCTACACTCTAGCGCAAAGTAATCAATTATCTAAGCAATCAAACTCGTTGTGTTCTATGGGTGTTTTGTTTTTCATGCTCCCGACTGTAAAGAAACTAAAGTCAAACAAGGATTATTCTGAGAATTCAAAAGAATAAAACTATTCAAACTGAATCATGATACATTCAATTTCACGTATATTACACTGTATATAAATATTCAAAAGCCTTTAATGCCATTGCACTATTAACAAATTTATTTTTTTTTAAATGGGTTCTTACCTCTAAAGAAAAATTCAATTGAATGCCAATTTTATTCTTAAAATTTGTTTCACTAATTTCATCATTATGCTCTTTATAATTTAAACTTGGTGAATTTGTACCGGAAGTTTGTGAACGACTAACTTTTTTAAATTTTTGAAAACTACTTGAACCTCTTGTCACAGGTACAGATTCTAATCGTAACATTAATTCCCCGACCATTTTACGTAATTCATCAGCATATAAACTCTCCATATCTTTGACAACTAACCGGGGGAATTGACGATTCTACAAAAAAATAAATAAAATAAAATAAAGTAAAACGACAACAACAACAAAGTGAAACATCAATAAATGTGAGACAAAGATGAATAGAAGTTTATTTTCGCCTCGGGAAGGGGGTTTGGCCGGGTGGCTGAGCGAGAGGAGAACTGTACAAACAATGAACAAATTCATAAGGAAAAACTAACATCTGGCGATTCGTTTTTTTGTCTTTGTAAAGCATTGAAAGTACGTTTAAAATACTAAAATGAGTCCGGGAGTAAATAAAGTGGAAGAATAGACATTTGATAAGAAAGAAATTAATTTTCAACCACCATCATCAACATCATCATCATTATCCTCATCGTTCATCAACAATAACAACATCAGTGAGATGCAAACACTAAAGAAACTACAAAATCAAGCAATCAAAATCTGGATTCTGTTGATTTCATTTAGGGGAAATTAGACGATGGAAACATTTGTCGGAAGTAATGACGTTAGATGTAAAAAACAAAAAAAAGGGAAAAAGAAAAAATGAACAGTGGGGTGGAGGGAAGGAAGAGCAAAAGAAAGGCAAGCAAGCAGGCAAGTAAATAAACAAGAAAACGAAGTGATTAAATAAATTGAATGAATTAATGACTGGGTTTTTTTGAAACTATATATAGAGAAGAAGAGCCTAAACAGTGTTTTGTGTGTTTTTTTAGAAAAGTATATCTGAAAATCCACTATGTCTGATTTCTTTTCTCATAGAATACGTTCACACACATAGGCATAATCAAAAACACAAGACATTACATAATACGATTTAAAGTTTCTAAAATTCAAGCTTCACTTAACACAAAACTTCTCAACTTATCTGAAAATCACAATACTGTGGATAATGATCATAGTAGAGATTAAATCTTTTACCAAAAGACTCAAGTGTACTGAATAATTCTAACTCGTAGAATCTAAAAAGATCTCTGTTAATTGTTCTTTGTTAAATTCCTTCATCTTGAAGAAAGTAACTAAACAGTGTGTAATTTCGGTTGATGGTGACTAGCAGTGGGATCTAGAATGTGTGCTTTCGTCCTAATTGAGGATCGTTAACTGAATGTGCCTGCATTCACACTGAGACTGAAAACCTGTACGCATTGTCTCAAATGCCAAAGTATACACTGGATTCGATTGCTAGACAAAATCGACTAAAATAACTCCACGTTAATTCTTAAGCATCACTGAAGCATCCTAACTAGAAGCCAACATTTAGGTTCAGACTAATCCATCAACGAATAATGTGTAATTTTATGAATTCATGAAACTAAAAATGGTTGGCGCTTACTTCAGATGATAATTAAACATTATATTAAGTTTGGTATGAATATCGTTTATCATAACAAGCTGATCACTTACTCTTGATAATTCCTCAACTGCCTGTAATTGACCATCCAGTTCACGACGTACTTGAGCAGCTTGTTCATCAGCACTATCCAGCTATACAGAGAAGAAAACGAATTATTTTTAATAACAAGATTATAATTGAAATGCCAACCTGTATTCCAGTGCTAACCCACATGAAGGAGACAATTATCAAACATGACTGTTACAAGTCAACAGTTATAGGAAAAGCACCATGTACTAGTTAGTCATACATTTCTGCTGAACAGATTTGGTATACCTGAAGATAATTTAAACCTAATTTACTTTATTCTCCAATCTGCGATTGGGTTGTCTTACAAAGTTACATATAGAAAAATGACATTTTCTATGAAGACGTACATGTACTCCATACTTAAAACATACGTGAAAAACTGAAATCAATACTAAAATATCACCCATTCAACATTGGATAATTATACTGTTCTAATGGATACTACCCACTTGAAGTCAATATTGATAATGAAACAAATCTGGAATACAATTGTTTAGACCTACACATTTCTGTGTATTAATCAGAAAGTAATTCGTAAGGGCTGGAGTTGTCGCTCGACAGTAAATGTTGACGTATATTATGATGGAGCGGTTTATGATTACCTAAACCGCAACATCACTATGTAAAAGGAGAGCCACAAGACACTAGGAGCTCAAGCAATAGGCATTTACAGATACAGGAAGACGAGTGGATGAGATAAAACATTTTAAACATGAAATTACATAATTGAGTTTGAACTGAAAGGAAGCATATGGACAGTGGTTAGTGGTACATTTAATAAAAGGGTTACATACTTCACAGTTTAGCTTCTAGAATAATTTCCACTTATTAATATTTTATCAAAAATATATCTTCAACTAAATGGTATACAGGCAAGAGAATAAAAACATAAAACCTCTATTCTAATGCGAGACATAATTCTCAATAGTTTTTTGTTCCGGTAGGCGTCCCAAACTTTTAACAGTAATAGTATGTAGTAGAGTATTGTGTTGATTTGTACATTCATTTGATGCATTCGTGAAACAGTGTGCCATATCACCCGGTTTGTTCAATTTCTAATCTACTTTATAAGTGCATATGATGGCCTAATTCGTTATTTTAATCCTGCTGATTATTCCAACTTAGCTGACAATATCTAATTACATCTTTTCCAATGGCATATGGTTGTGTCTGCTTCATAAATATATATAAACTAATTACATCTATCTGTCTGAAAGTCTGAATTATGATCATTGTAATAATACAATGACTACTACTATTACTACTACAATCCTTCTTACTTTTGCATGATCTTGCATACAAGTTGTAGTTAGTACTTGATGCGGAAATTACCTTTTAGTTCAGTTATGAAAAATCAAACACATGTTTATGGGGAATAAGATTAACATTTCGCCGCCTTTCAGATTCATTGACTGAATGTATAGATATATCTCCTAGTGGTGTTATTTCCCTTAAGACGTGAACCCGGCAAATCTGATTTACACGCTTAAACTGCCAATTGACAATTGTCTTTTATTGTGAAGTTAACTCCAGATTCTATATAGTTCGCATCTCAACTCAACGTGATACACTTTTCTTACGGATTTTACTATCAAAATGTTCATTGTTTTATTAAAGACACCACAAATTAGAAAGAGCAAAACTAATATTCATTCATTTTAAAAGGAATCATGTCAAAATTATTCAGGAATTTAGTTTTCTATTCGTTAGGTAAGCTTTAAATATCAAAATCTGACTTCATAGATAGTATTTGAAACACTCAGAATGTGTGTTTTAAAGCACAAAGCTAAATAAAGCTCAACTATGGAACTTCATCATACTTTTATTTTTGAAAAGTATTCATATCACAGAGTGTAATCTACTGAAAATGCCCAGTATTAAAAGATTTGAGCAACCTCAAAGACCGAAATGACTATTGCACAATTATTCTTGAGCTTAATATATCACTAACTTTTAGTGTGTAAACTACTTAACATATTAATGATTTTTTTATTCCTTAGCGTTCCTAGTGAAGGAGGGCTTCTATCTAGGGGCTTGACGTTTTCGTAGCAGTGGTGCTTACTTTTATTGGATGGGGTTGCTAGCCTCATGCCCATCCTGCCTTCTTTACTAGGTATATTACTGGCTGGCAATTAAAGGGTAAAGGGGTGCATCGGCCGGGAATCGAACCCCAAACCACGTGCATGGTTGGTGAACATTCTACCACTGTGCCACCGACGCACTACATATTATTGATACATCACATTATTCTTTGCAGTTATAATGTCTATATCCCTACACATATTAGTAAAAGTACAAAATAACTTTGGCAGTAAAACAAAATTAGATAGTTTTGAAGTAATTTGGTGGGTGGTGACTAGCAGTGAAATTCAGGATGCGCATTTCATCCTATCCGGGACTCAGAAATCGTCAAAGCATCCTCACGAGGAACCGACATGTCAAAGAGAGGTCAAGCACTTGGGTCCAATCAAACAACAGGAAAGTACAAATTGACTTAAATAATAACTGATATCCGTTGCACAAGAAGTGGCTCTCATGGACCAGTTGGTCTATTAGTTAACGCTTTGGCGTTTGAAACTGTGAGTACTGGATTGAAGCCTCGTGGGGACACTGTCACTCACTGGCGAATGCAGGTACGCCCAAATGATGAGTCCCAAATAGGCTGAAATGCGTCTTATCCTTTATTCCACCACTAATCACCTTCCACCAGAGATACTTCAAGTTAAGTTCTCAGACATCGTCGAGGTATATGCACAAGAAGCTTACATGTCACCGTGACGCTAAGCACTTCGGTTCAATCAGTCAACGGGAAATTCTAAATTGATTGTTTTCATAAGAATTTTATTTTTTGGTGAACTGATTTAGCACTTCGCCGGTTATAATTTTTACATAACAAATTACTTACAAAATACAAAAAGTGAATACTGTATTTCTGAAATAAAATTTTCCAATTATACTAAATTAATGCCCATCAAGTTGTTTGTTTGATAACATTTCTTTCTGAATAACTAATCTCCTTAACTCAGAGCTGATATTTCGTCACAAAAAAGGACACTTTACAATGCCTGTTAATTTATCATATTTACACAAAATCTAATTTCAGAGTACACATCTAAGTATAGATTATGTTTGTCAAAATAAGTTAACTGTCAAGCGATATATAAATTCCAAAAACTTGAAGGTTTTGCATCACAAAAACAAGTAAACAATCAAGAGAAGTGGTAGGCGATTCATTTTCAACAGAATAATAGAATGAAACTGTTTTTTAAACAAAAACAAACCAATACATACCAAAGAGTTTGATGCTATTCGGTTAAGACATAACTAAACCTAAGGCCTAAGTCTACTTTGAACTATGTATACATGACTTTGATACTTGGCATAATGGGTTTAATAATAGCAAGTAATCCAGACGCCTTATTTACCTTACTTTTAGAAAAGTCAGTAAGTGGACTCTTCACACTTAAACATTAAAATTAGTTCTTTTCCAGTTTTATTATCCCCCATCAGTGTTACGATCACATTTATATTCAAAAAAAGCATAGATGTAAAAAGGGATGGTGACAATTTGTAGCCCAGATTATTAGTGCAGTTACGCTGAGGTGGGAGGTAAAAGTGATTGTCTTGCTAGACAAGATCTTCAAAAGCGACCTCGAAATGAATTCCCAATGAGTTTATTAGTTATTTTCGGAGATTTTCTAAAGAAAATGCTGAGACACTGCAGGAAATTCATACAACCCTGGTGCTCAAACGATTCATTAATCAACAGACACAGTGACATAGATCAGAATTATCAGACAGTGAGAAGAAAGGTATATGAAAAAACACGTCGACTATCAGGTCAGTGAAATAATCATACAAGTGGACAAGAGGATGCAAAAATCTCAGGCTAAACAAAAAAGTAGTTGAGCCAAGCTGTTTTCGGTGATTTCAATTCCTGTAGCTTTGTGTTTTCATAAATTCGTGGATGGGGGGTTATTCATGAATTAGAAATCTCAGGTAACAACCGGCCACATTTAAGGTAATCAGAAGAGACAGTCATTAAATGCACTTGAAATTGACGTCAGCGCTGAACATGTTATCTAGGAAGACGATGGAAACCTTTCAGTTCAACCACCCAGCTCAGAGAGAACAACTACACCAAGCAGAGAGAATGCATTTAATCGATATATATATATATATAGATGATAGTTAGTTAACAGAGATAAAAGGGCTACCTTAGAATATAATAATTATTCTCATGAGACAAATAAATTAATGGATTCACTAGACTTTTATGTAACTCAAATAAAATAATAATAATAATTGATGACAGAAAAGTATGAAAAAAACTAGTAGGAGAAAGGAAGAAATGCATTTCTTTTTTTCACTAGTACGGTGACGATATCGACTGAGTTACCTAAAAGGATTTTTTTTAATACTTATTTTGCAAAGACATTAAAGTTATTTCTTCCAGATAACAATTAGAAAACACTGTGATTTATTATTTATCTGAAATACCAGACGAGTATGCAGAAAGAGAGAAAAACCACTGGTACTGAAGAATTTACTGAAATTATTTGATCTGTTGGAAAAAGGATAAGGAATAGAGTATTCCCTTCATCAGTTACTTCAAATAAATAATTGACTCACAAAAGAATCAACGAAGAACCTTTCAAAGGCATAGATCGATTCAAATTTCTAGAAAACTTCGAAAGGAAATACGTGCATGAATGAAATAAGTTGTTTGTGGGAGACAGAATATGCTAAATAAAGAATTGCAAAGACGTTAAGACCTTTCAACAATAGCCGCTAGTCAGTGTATATCTATGGCATTGTGAGCAATTTTAAATCATGTCACAACGATATATGAGATAAACTGGAGTACTCAAATGTAGGTGAGGGAAGTGCTTGAGCTTAAAATATTCCTTTTACTCATTTTGTAAGAAATATTTATTTAATTGAGTCTAAGTATCATTTAAAGCAAAGTAAATATATAAGATTTTTCTACATTTACATACGACGGAAGTTTAACAATAGAAGTGATAATAAGAGCTAAAGCTTTTAAAAGTTATATGGATAT